TAAAACTTTACATAGTGTTTCTGAAGAACAGGGAACCTTTTTTTTTTTTTTTTTAAGACAAAAAGGCATTTCGAAACTATCCTTCCTCTGACAAACAAATGCCATTTTTAAAGCTGTGATACTTTGGTCATTTTTAAATAAGAACTCCAATGGGACTAAAGAATGGTATTTTAAAATAACTGGGAGCTTACTAATAATGTTATGATACATGTACTGTTATCTTAAAAAAAAAAAAAACAACCAACCCAAAATAAAAAACTACTGCAATGCTTAATAAAATAAGCTACAATATTAAATGTAGTGCATCACTCCAGCCTCAAAACCCTCTACAACATATTGCAATGCAAAACACCCTAAGAAAAATTCATTTACTGCTCACTTAAGATTTTTCAAAAGTAAAATAGTCCAGCTATTTTTTTTACAACCAGACAAACCAGTTAAGTTTATATGACAACCTGCTTAAGATATAGCATTGATCAAAATAAACAGAATTCTCATTCACTGTGCAATTGAGAAAAATGGTGTTCTCTTTTGCTCACAATTCTGAGAACTCTCAGCATACCACATCTCCCACTAAGACCAAAGAAAGGGCTCAATCCTGCTCTCACAGGAATCAACAGAAATTTACAACTCACATCAGTTGTGCAAAATGACTTTCAAATGGGAACTGAGGGTACTCAGCCATTGCAAGACAGCATCTTTGCAAGGAACAAGCTAGTAGAGCTTCACTTAAAGCATTCATACATTGTATCTTTGCTGACAAAATTTCATCCATTTCAACACTTAACTGTCGAGTCCAATTCTTAAATCCTAAAAGCAAGAGCAAAGCCCATATTTCTCCCTTATGCTTGGTATCATTAATACTTTAATACAGAGGTCTTTCTTTTAGAAAGGTACCTAGTTTAACAGGAGAAAAGTCATTTGTCCCAAATGGTTTATTTTAAAATCAGAACATCCTTTTACAACAAACCTCAACCACTTTTGTTTATCGGTGTCTCCCTACACAGAATTAGCTTTCTGCCCCATACATCTTATTCTTATCTAAAGCTCAGTGACATCATAGTCAGATAATATGGTTCATTATTATCCTGTCACAAACATCTCTACACGCCAAAGAGTATTTGAACTAATACCACATCTTTTGGAGTGCCTGCTGTGTGTTTAAAAAGGTAGTTCTAAACTTTCGGATACTTTAATGCTACATGCTACAAAGCAACAATAGTAACTTTAGGGGAAAGTTTCAGGCACAATTAGATGGAAAAAAAAACTTACATTCATATGCAATGTCCAGAAGTTCAAGTTTGGAGGTATCATTAAAATATATATATTTTTATAGCCATGTGATGGAATGGAATTTGGTTATATAAAAGACAATAAAGTGCATTAACCTTCACTGTGTCTGCTTATAAGCAGGCTTTATTGTGCCTGTCAGTCAATTACTTACTACAGTGAAAAGCTGGTGTGAGATGGTGTTGGTCAGTCTCTCCACACTGAAAGTTAGCAGAGGGTGGCTCTCCACATATACTGAAAGAATATTCAGGCAGCTGGATAAGTTGATGTCACAGCCCCATCCCCCAATTAATTTATGCACCAGGCAGGCCTGATTCTTATGTTAATGATGAAGAAGGCAGGCAAAATTGCTTAGATTTTGATGAGACATTTTTGTATATTACCCTCATTTTGATTAGGAAAACACACACAATAGAAATTCTTAACTTTATGGCCCTGGTGTGCCGTGTTAGAGAGATTAAAAAGAGCTTTGTAGGAATGACAAACTTGTGAAAGGAAATCAGACAACTGTACTGTTTATAAAGATTTAACAGCAACCCTTTCTCCTTAGCAAATCCAGTGCTGTCATAAGCAGATGTCAGGACTTTGTCATGTTTAAAGTTTCAATTGCTGCTGAAGGTCATGAATCGATGAGGCACTGTTTTGTAGTTTCGCTGCCACCAGCTCCTCTTTCTCTGGCTTGATCGTTTCAATCACACCATTGGTTCCAAGAATACAAGGCATACTTAAAAATACTTCACAGTTTATACTGCAGCACCCCTGGAATTGTGCAAACAGTAAAGGACTATTAATGTAGCTGTTTTTGAATACCGTGCATCTTTAGAAACCTCTGCTACTTCTATGCCCATTATGGAATATGGAATTGCGTGAATTAAGATAGTTAAAATTCAACTAAGCAAGATGTTCTTTGTTTAGCAGATAAGCATAGCTTAAATGTTATTGATTTAGAATAACCTATAGTAAATTTATGCTATGCAAGATCTGTGCCTTATACAGTTAAGTGTTTAGGATTTCTTAGGCCTTTTGTATATTTAAACAACATAATTTATCTCAGCAAATATCAATGGTGGAGACAAAGCTTGTAAACAGCACAAGAACACTTTTTGCCAGCATAGCTTAAACCAGTTCTCCAGATGTTGCAAGCTATATTATCAGGATTTTTTCCCCTCTAGTACAGGGGTTCTCACAACTTTTTTTAGACTCAAGGTACCCCTTGAAAAATGCCAGCTCTTACTTTTAACTTGGGGGTGGGGGGGTGGGGCAGGGGTTGTCTACAGAGAATATTGAGCAAGTTTTTTGTTGCAAAGAATCCAACAATACACAAGACATAGGAATTGCTGGAGTGTGGCAATTGCCATGCTCCAGCAGACTATTAATTGAGTCTGCTCCAATGAGCTGGAATTACAGCACATCGAAGCAGTCTCCCTGCTCATGTATAGGCACCCTGTATAGGTTTATTCTGTGAATCACGTTTGCACATCTAACAATGCTAACACTACATGGCACCCCAGAGCAACCTTGAAAGGATCTCAAGGCACCCCAGGTGCCATAGGTCTAGTATAACTGCATCTCCACTAACTTTACTGATTATGGGGAGAATAAAACTAAAAGCACACACCCTGTCTGACCAATGTGGCTATCCCAGCAAAATTTTGGGGTATAGAGCATGTATTATATATGAACATGCACCTTTGTATTCTGCAATTAAATTACGAAAATTCAAGTGAGGATTAAAATAGTTGTTTCTCATTTTTTAGGGTAAAATAATATGTGTACACATGTGTAAAGTCTTAGGTTGTGCAGACAATATGCAGGTCCAGTTAAAAGGCATTATTAGGTCATTTCTGCAGAGGAGTAGCTATTTAACAGAAACTTCATATGATAATAAGAGAAAGTAATTTAATAAGCATCTGTAGGTCATGAAACAGTAATCAGCCTTTGTTCCATTTTGTTTTAAATCCTACAGTCACCCCTTAGAAGGAAATTCCTGTTTTGAAAATTGGAAATTAACTGTTACTAAAGGGAAATATTTCTTCATAATGTTTACTTCCTAATATAAATAACATTGTTCAATTAATACTTCTAGGATAAAAGTTTAAAGTCTAACATGATTTTGTTTAAACAGTTTCTAGAAAGTAAGAACACTGTAGACAATACTATTTCTCAGTTTTATCAAATATAGTACTAAAGGAAAGTCTGTATCAGATTCCTGTAGAGAGAGCTGAAAATGTTTGGTGCTTTAGAAAACTTGCAGTCAGCATTGAGCACTTTGAAACCAAGACGCACCTACCTGTGCTACTTGCCAAAGCCAACTATATCACAGCCTATTTGCATAACAAGGGGTGGCCAAAAGGGGCACTATCCTTGATGCCAAATTAGAAGAGGCTCCAGAATCCATGCCCACACAGTCCATGCCCCAGCAGCTCACTCATGCAAAGAACTCCAAAACAGTCCCCCAGCTGCTATTTTAAGAGCAACAGCCCGGATGGGTATAGCACACGCAGTGGCAGCAGTTGTTCAGCTGAGACTGGTGCAAGTAAAACCAGCCCTGCCTCCCCCAGCCCCCTTTAGAACCTGCCCCTGCAACATGTGCCTCTCCTGCTCTTAGAAACCACACGCTCACTAGAGCTATGAGAAACAGCTGTGTTTTGATCTGGTTTTGGATTCAGCCATTTCAGAGGACAGTGATTCATGTCGGTGTTTCGGATCACTGTCCTGTTTCGTTTCAGCCAAATCTGTTTCAGAGATTCGGCTCTGCCAAATCTCCAAATCTGTTTCGAACAGGCTGCAAGGGAAGTTTTGCATAGCCCTACCCAGCCAGGAGGGGCAGTGGGTGGCTCATCCGAGGGAGGAGGAGGGCCACTGCCCTCCAAGCAAGCAAAGAGTAACCCCCGTGTGGGTCTCTGATCCCTGTCACGTTGGGTCACGGGGCAGGGAAGCAGCACAGAGTGGCGAGCAAGTCTGCTGGTCCCTGCCCCATCACAGGGAGCAGAGATCTGCGCAGGGGGTCTCCTCATTACCACTGCCCTCTCCATGCAGCCCCGCATCACCAGGGCAGCTTGGGACAGGCAGCGGCAGCAAGGAGACCCCTGGTGCAGATTTCTGCTCCCTGCGGAGCCAAGTCATGCGGCAGAGCAGTAGTGCACAGCTGTTTCCTTGCAAGCCGGGCTCCGAAACGCTGAAATTTTCCGAAACATTTCAGATGCCTAGTTTTGTTTCAGAGATGTTTCTGAGCCTTCCGTTTCGATTCAGATTCAGTGTTTCGGGTGCCAAAGCAGCCCAAAACACCTCCAAAACAAAACAGCTGCCAAAATTTCGCACAACCCTAATGCTCACCCCTATGTCCCCCCACTCCCCTCCCCGGGTGTGATCCAGGCATCAAGTCTGCTTGTTACACCACTGCTTTGATTACTAGGAAGCTGGATGCCAGTACCAAGAATGATGCAGCACTCAACTACCCCAGTGTTGGGGGAAGGGGAAAAGGGGAAAAATCGATTTAGAATCCTGTCCTCAAACTACAGCCAAAAGAGTAGCAGATTCTTGTTCAATATGATTAGTGCTAAAAGCTGGTGTCAGAAGAAACTAATAGAAACGATACAACTGTAGAATTGTTGGACTAAGCTAATGTCTCTGTTCTGCCAAAGTTAAAATGTCATGCCAGGTATGATGGATATGATGACAATTAACGGAAAAAGAGATATCATATTTACCTTTGCCAGAGTGGATACGGAATGAACTTTTCTTTTATCTTTCAATATACTTTCAATCAGGTCAGCTATTGATAATGCAACAGACCAAGACCTTTGACCTTTTCCCTTAAGAACTTCCATGGCTCTATATAAAGAAGAAAAAAACCAAAAAAAATGTGGCAGAAAAACATCATTTCTTCAATTGTCCAACATATTTTATGGACACATAAGAAAGCATATTGCATAACATATGAGCCTCAGTCTCTGCCTCTGAGGAAAATACATCCTTAAATTCCTATTCCCCTAAATCTACAAAGATTAGGGCTTTTCATTTGCTGCATATAACTGGCACAAATTTGGCCAGGGAAACAAGCAAATGGAAGATAACTATTTTCTTAATTTCTATGAAGAGTGTGTCCCTTTCGCTGCAGTGCATACATCTGTGATTAAAGACATACTCCTGAACCTCAGAAGGAACTAACTTAGAGTAATTTATTAATACAAGTAGCATGGCACACTACACCACCAGAGAAATGCTGACAGGAAGTTTTTCCATGTTAGGGAAACTAAGTGTTTTTAAGGACCATACTCATTCAGTTAACATCATCACTCAAGATCCCACCCAATATCCTCTTAATGGCTGAATATAGGATTGCAGGTACAGTGGCGCAAATGCCCCAAGACTGCTATGGTAACCAAGAAGGCCCAATATGAACCTTGTACAGACCAACTAATTGAATTCCAATAAGCCTACAACGCGCCTAGAAAATTGGGAAGAGAGTTTGAATTGCTTAAAGTGGGGCTGCACCAAGAGAGATTTTTGGGGCCGATACGGATATCCAATTTTTAAGGAGGCATAGTTGGCTAATACCAATCTGATTTCCAATATAATGTGGAGAGCTGCCTCCAGGTGGTAAGTCCATTGTGGTGGAAGGGGTGGGGGGCAGATCAACCTCCCACCGCAGTGAGGCAGGGAACAAGGGTAGGTGCTGCCCAGCTGCAGCAGGGTGGGGCGCAGAATGGAGGCGCAGCTCGTTTGGGGGGATGGGGAAGGGGAGGTGGCACGGCTCCCGCCCTTGCTTGCATCCCGGGCGGGGAAAGAGGGGGAAATAGGATACGTGCTCCCGGATCTCTGCAGGACGAGCAGGTGGGCTCCAGCTGCAGGCTGGAGCCAGGCTCTTCTCACCGGGGCCTGGGCTCGAGGCAGGGGCTACAGAAGGGGCTGGAGCCACCCCAAATTTTGCCGAAGCTCCATCCTAGTGCTGCCACGCGTTGAGCTCTTCCCAGCTCAACCCCCATCTCCCCCCATGTGCAGGGAAAAGCCAGAGCTGTGCCAGGCACGCGGTAGCAGTGCTGAAACGGAGCTACAGTGAAATTTGGCTGTATCCCCCTCTATAGGCCCAGCTCCAAGCCCAGCCCCCAGCAAGAAGAGCCCAGCTCCAGCCTGTACTGTACATATCTGGGGGGCACATGCCCCTGCCACTCCCCACCACCTCAGGTGCAAGCAGCGGTGGGAGCCACCCCCGTCCCCACAAGCTGTGCCTACATCCCATGCCCCAGCTGGGCAGCGCTTACCTCTTCCCCCTTCCTCACCACAGGGGGTGGGGAGGGGGTTGATCTGCCCCCCCACGTCCCTTCTCTCCCTCTTCCCTTTCCAACACAATGGACTGACCAACTGGAGGCAGCTCTCCATGATGCCAGGCTCCACTCCTTGCTGCTCCAGTGCTGTGCTGCGGCTGCGTGCACGCACTGGCATTTATTGGCCCAATTATTAGCCCCATTGGGCCAATTTCCGATGCAGCCAATTTTCTTTATATTGGTACCAATCCAATACTGGATCGGTGTATCAGTGCACCGCTAACTTAAAGGAAAGAGAGATAACCAACAATCTATTCTAGAGCTAACGTAACTGGACCACGCTGTGTTTATTCTCAGACCTACAAGACTAGTCTTTCCTTAGATGCACAATGTCTAGAAAGGATATGAACGTTTTAGAGCAAATTTGCTCCTATGAGTAAAAATAAGTCAGATTATTCAGGGATTCAGTGCTCTACAGTCAAGAAGCATACTTAATGTGAATATAAATTTACTATTGTAGCCATGTTACCTGTTTGCTAACTGTTCCCTTGAATTATGATGTGATTTTGCTGCAGTTTGACACGTTGCTGAATTAGAACCAGTCCATGCAGGCACTAGGTAAAATAAATAGAACAGAATGTTTTATCTCAATATATAACACTGATGAACACATTTTAAATTTTGTTTTCTATAGTGCATGTTTTAATGCCCTGAACTTAGTTGCTACCTTTCTAAAGTTCACAGCAACTCCTTAAGCCCCAGTGCAGAACGGGCTTGGAATCTTTATAGAAATACATCAAGGAAAGTGGTAGCAAGTGGCTTATTGTCCAAACTAAAAATGTATGTGTATGTACATGTGTGGAGATTACAGCTAGGGATTGGTTGGGATGCAAAGGAAGTCAGAGTTTTGTATTCGGCAGCCATTGGACCCAGCTGACAAAGCAGTGGCTTCAACAGAATTCGGCAGCAGGGGGCTCTGCTGCACTGCAGGTGGGTGCCTGTGGCTCTCCCTAGGCTGTTTGTAAATGGGTGGCAGGGAAAAAGAAGTGGCAGACATGGCAGGGTCCTAGTCCCCACCCTCCTCAGACCTGAGCTGAGTCATTCTGGCCCCTTGCCAGAAAATATGTTGCCAAGCACTGTTATATACTATGAACGGACTTGCAGAAAGAAAGTGCTCTTAGCAGAGAGAGATTTAAATACAAGAAAAAGGAGAGCTGCTCAGAAGGGCAAAATGTCAGTAGAGATAAACAAGGCAGGCAACACACTGAGGGACATAGGGGTTAACAGCTGGAGTTAATAACTGGTCCAGGTAATGGAATAAGAATCCACAGTCTCTAGTGAGGCTATGTTTAACAGAGTGCAGTCTGGCAGAAGGCAGGGCAAGGTGGCACCTTAGAGACTAACACAACGACATCTCACAATTCAGTCTGCATACAATTTCTTGTTCAGCAATATCATGTTCAAGTTGGTTTTTAAAAGTAGGTCATTCTGCAAGTCTATTCACAGTGTCTGATGAAGTAGGCAGTTACATACAAAAGCTCATGCCTCTGAACTAGTTCGTGTCTAAGGTGCCATCCCGGCCTATGTTCTGCCTGACTTCACACTAATGTGGCTAACCACCTTGTTTCTCTCTTGTGGGAGCAACTTTTGGAGAGGAGAAAGGCAATGCAGACACAAGATGGAGGTACACCCTCCTTACACTGTAGCTTTCTAGCGAAGAAAACACTTTAAAAGGACACTTAACAAGAAAACAGGGGTTGGGGGTACAGGTGGTGTTCTTACCAATCCTCCCAGTCTCAGGCTATGGGCTGAGGAGGGAGAGGAGGATTGAGGTAGCGAACCGAAGACTGCGGTACTAGTGTCATCGGGAAGGCTTCGGCTTCCATGACCACAGTCCACTCTTTGGTGAGAGGGACAGTGAGCTGCTGGGCAGGGACAGCCTCCACCTCTCTCCGCTGGGAAGGAGGCTCTTCTCAGCCACACTGGCTGACCTCCTCTACTGGGCTTTAAACTAAGCCCGCGCGCGGGGGGGGGACACGACACGACGACGACGACACTACTGTCACTGCTGGCCCACTGAGCAACCCTTGCAGAGCCAGCAGGTCAAGGCACTTAGGGAAGCCCACCCCTGCAACGAACTGTAGGCAAGGCAAGGGCCACCAAAGGGACACTTGTGTACCTATACACAAATGCCAGAAGCTTGGGAAATAAGCAAGAGGAACTTGTCCTCCTGCTTAAAACAAATGATTATGATGTCATAGGGATAATGGAGACCTGGTGGGACTCCACCCATGACTGGGCCATGGGTATAGATGGCTATACCCTGTACAGGAGAGATCGAGTGGACAAAAGGGGTGGGGGCGTAGCTCTCTATGTCAAGGAAAGCTACGCATCCCTGAAAGCCGATATTGGTGCCCAGGGTGGACTGGAGACCCTCTGGGTTAAAATCCGTGGGGAACACAGCACAGGGGACACAATAGTGGGAGTCTATTACAGACCCCCTACCCAGGATCAAAACCTTGACCAGGAGTTCACCAGGGAATTAGCTGAGGCCGCATGCTCCCGGTGCATGGTTATCATGGGAGACCCCTGCTAAACCAGATAGGACAACTGACAACTGTCACCCAGGAAAAAGCAAGCTTGCTAAATGGGTACTTTGCATCAGTTTTTCACCAGTCCCATGGGATGCCCCTTCCCACTATGGGACAGGGAGGCCCGGGCGAGGGAGATTCCTTACCCTCCATCAAAGCTGACCTTGTGAAGAAACACCTTGAGAGGCTGGACACCCTCAAGTCAGTCGACCCTGACTATCTACAGCCCAGGGTACTCAAGGAGCTGGCTAGCATCATAGCTCAGCCCCTGGCATGGATCTTTGAGAACTCCTGGTGCTCTGATGAAGTGCCCGAAGACTGGAAGAAGGCCAATGTGGTGCCTTTCTTCAAGAAAGGGAGGAAAGTGGATCCGGAAAACTACAGACCCATCAGCCTGACCTCTATCCCGGGGAAGATCCTAGAAGATAATCAGAGAGGCCATTCTTAACAGACTGGCTGATGGCAACATCCTGAAGGATAGCAAGAACAGGTTTTTGTTGCAGGTAGGTCTTGCTTGACCAATCTCATTTCCTTTTACGACCAGGTGACCTATTACCTGGACAAGGGGGAAGAGATTGATGTCATATATCTCGACTTCAAAAAAGCCTTCGATCTGGTATCCCATGATCACCTCTTGGCAAAACTGGCTAGCTGCGGCCTTGGCCACACCACGATCCGTTGGCTGGGGAATTGGCTCCGTGGTCGGACCCAGAGGGTGGTGGTTGATGGAAGTCAATCGTCATGGTGCCCTGTGACCAGTGGGATCCCTCAAGGCTCTGTCCTAGGGCCAATACTATTTAACATCTTCACTAACGTTGTAGACATTGGTGTCAGAAGCGGACTGGCCAAGTTCACCGACGACACCAAACTCTGGGGTAAAGCATCCACACCTGAGGACAGGAGGGTAATCCAGGCAGACCTTGACAGGCTCAGGAAATGGGCAGATGATAACTTGATGGTGTTTAACACCGAAAAATGCAAGGTTCTCCACCTTGGGAGGAAAAACCTGCAGCATCCTTATAGGTTCGGCAGTGTTACGCTGGCTAGTACTACGGATGAAAGGGACTTGCGGGTCATGATTGACCACAAGATGAACATGAGCCTTCAATGTGATGCTGCAGCTAGTAAAGCGAGCAAAACGCTGGCTTGCATACATAGATGCTTCTCAAGCAAATCCCAGGACGTCATTCTCCCGTTGTACTTGGCCTTGGTGAGGCCGCAGCTGGAGTACTGCGTCCAGTTTTGGGCTCCACAATTCAAAAAGGATGTGGAGAAGTTTGAGAGGGTGCAGAGGAGAGCCACGTGCACGATAAGAGGTCAGAAAAACAGACCTTATGAGGAGAGGCTGAGAGCCATGGGACTCTTCAGCCTGGAAAAGCGCAGGCTCAGGGCGGACCTGGTGGCCGCCTATAAATTTATTAGGGGTGTTCACCAGGACCTGGGGGAACGTCTATTCACCAGAGCACCCTAAGGGATGACAAGGTCGAACGGTCACAAACTCTTCCATGACCATGTCAGGCTGGACATAAGGAAGAGCTTCTTTACTGTCCGAGCCCCCAAGGTTTGGAATAGACTGCCGCTGGAGGTGGTTCAAGCACCTACTTTGAACACCTTCAAGGAGACAATTGGATGTTTACCTTGCTGGGATCCTATGATCCCTGCTGACTTCCTACACCTGGGGCAGGGGGCTGGACTCTATGATCTTCTGAGCTCCATTCCAGCCCTAATGTCTATGAATCTATTATCTATGTAATACATGAATAGATGCTCAACCATCAATGGAACAAAGGCTGCTGTTTCCATGTGAAGTAGCCATTTAAGCAAGCCTGCTACACATCCCTTTTCTCATTTTTGTTGTCCCACTTCCTCATCATTACAAAGTAGTCAGAAGTCAACTTGCAGCTTTACTGCCTTTAGAATCCACCCACCCAATCCCCAACAGTTCCTTCCTACATAAAGATTCACTGTTTCTAGTTTTGTAAGAAGCCCTCACAACCCCAAACCCCTGCAGTACCATTCCTGCGCTGCTATGTACTTTGACAAGTCAATCAAGACCTAACATGCAGAGCTGTGGAGTAGACACAGCTGCTGTTACCATCTGTGTGAACTGGGAGTTCAGCACCTCTTAAAATCTGGCACTTAAAGTACTCCAAAATTAGCAGCAGTCCACTACAATGCTGATTTCTCTTCCCAGAAAGATTGTTTCTTCAATACCTTTAACATAATAAGTTAAAAAAGAAGAAAAAGAAATTGAAGATGAAGTGTGGCCCACAAGCCATCAGCTGGATAGCCCCAACCTAAATCATCAAAACCTATCCTTTTACCTTTGCCTTCCCCTTGTTCACCAATAATCCAAGCCTCTTTTCCTACAGTCTGAGCTTTCAACAGGTTTGCGATGACATACTGGAACCTCTCAGTGTCCAGGTTGCAGCCAATTCCAATAACTCTGCTTTTGGGAAATGCACTCAGCTTCCATGATACATAGGTCATTATTTCCACTAAACAAGAGAGAAAAATATGTTGATAACATACAATCACTTCCAAAAGTTCAACACAAAACAGGCTAGAATTCATTTTCAAGAGACAAAATCAGGAGCCAGCTATTCACTTTTAAAGTATTAGCCTACATGAACACATCAAGTTTACTTGTCCCTAAAACACCAAGTCAAGCTTTTAAGATAACATGTCATAGCTTGAGTAAAGTAGTAAGAAGAGAGACCCAGGTAAGTTAAAAATTGTAAAATGCATCTAAAACAGGGTTTTTAATTAAATTGTTATCTACTTCTTAAGCTGGGAAAGGACACATCCTCATCCATCAAAAAATATTGCCTCAAAAAAAGTTTACTCCTCTTAATTTGCAAGTTTCTTCTCTCCAACCTTTGTTCTACTGAATGGCAACAAGGGAAGCATTTCAAATCACTTTATTAGTTTTAGTGTACGTGTAACAGCTCTGGTTCCTGTTCTGGCTAAGGAATGTTGTTGGGATGGGGTCAGGGAACAAGCTTACCATGAAGAATCTGGTGGGGTTGAATGGCTGACAGAGAGGTCCATGTGTGGTCCAGGGTGAAAGAGCCAAACCCTGGCCAAACATGGTCATGTGCAGAGGGAGCAAACTAGAAAGGAGCCAGCACACTCAGAACCTCAGAGAAGGTAACACACAGCTGGCTGAGAATGCTGTGTGAAACTCATGGAGATGCGGAGCCAGGCTCTCCTAGCAGCATCCTGGGGACCTGGTGAAGTGGTCCAGTAAGCCAAGCTCAGCAGCAGACTAGTGAGGGATATGGAGTGAGTGAAGAGGAACTTGATCAGCAAAAAGGACAATGAGGTTTCCATGAGGGTAATGAGTTAAGTGTGTGAATGCAGACTGTTGATAAAGTGCTGACAGTGTGGAGTGGAGCCTCACGCATTGATGAGCAACACAAGGAAAATTAATGGAATCTGTATAAAATAGAGACTGATAAGATTGGGGTGGAATTAACTAATCTTCTGAGTCAAGGGAGCCAGTGGGATCCATTAATGATTAGGGAATCCATGAGATCCATTAGTGATTAACTGCTATTCTAGAGATTAAAAAAAAAAAAAAAAAAGACTGTGGAATTACGTAATAATTGACTACTCTTTCATGAATTAAGAGAGACTATGGAATTCAGTGATAATTAATTACTCTCACTTGTATTATGAGAGACTGGAATTCATTGATGATTGACCCCTCTCCCATTAATCAGGACAGACTATTAAATTAATTCATAATTAACTGATCTTTTAGAACTATGGATGTCAATCACAGGTACATATACCCCTAGGGGTATTTAAAAGAGTCGTAGGGGGTACACAGAACAGATGTGGTGGATAAATGCCATGTGCATGTGTGCACCCACAGTACAGCACACAGGTGTCAAGCACAGCCTGGCCACGGGGAGAGCAGCTGGGTCCGGCTGGTAAGTCTGTTGTGGGGAAAGAGGCTGGAGGGGGGGGGCACACATCAAAGCCCCTGTGGTAGGGGAGGGAGTGGGGCAGGGGCAGCGGCTGCATAGTTGGGACTGAGCTGCATAAGGCAGGGAAGGAGGGGGCAGCTCCCATGGTACAGGCCCCTGCCATACCCTTGGGAGGGTATGGAGGGCATGTGCTCCTGGATCTGTGCACAGGGCAGGGCGGGCTGGGGACGGGGCGGCACTGGGCTCCTCCCAGCAGGGGCTGGGCCAGGCTGCGCTCAGAGCAGACACTGTCAATGCTGGCCCTGAGCCAGCCACTCCCTCCCCCATCACTGGGGCAGCCTGCCCTGCCCTGCCCACAGATCTGGGGGCACACACTCCCCGTGCCCTCCCAGGGCATGTGCAGCAGCAGGAGCCAACCCCCACTCCCTGCATCCCCAAGACAAGCTGCTCATGGTTCCGTCCCATGCCCCGCCTCAGCTGTGCAGCACCTTCCCCAGCCCTACTCCCTCCCTTGCTGTGGGGAGCCTCAGTCTGCCCCCCCCCCTTAAAAACAAGAAAAAATATAAAGAGGTACAGGAGCTGAAACTAAATCAGAAGGGGTACACTTATTAAAAAAAGGTTGAAAACCCCCATTTTAGAACATCATGAAACTAACTAGCCTGTGACTGGAATTCCTGACTAGACCAATAATTGATTACATCACACCCAGAAAGGTTTAAAGGAGATGTTAGTCTGGGACCCCATAAGGGAGGATACAAAAATGAGCAACTCTGAGCACATGAATAGCAGCTGGATCAAAAGTGGGCTACTAGCAGCAACTGCCAGAGGGGTACAGGAGTCTGAGTTAAGGCCACATATTTAGGCTAACTGGCCAGGAGTGGTAAGAAGCAGGGTATAGGGGTAGAAGGAACCCTGTGAAGATGACAGCCTTCAGTCATGCAGATCTCTGCTCTTCTCTGAACAACCAACATCCCCCCCTTTTTTTTTTTTAAACAAGCATGGCAGGTAAGAACAAAGGGAAGTGGAAGCAGAGACCTGGTAGACCTGGACATGAGAAGGCAATCCCAACTACAACTTCCTACAGTATGGTTAAACAGGTTTTCAATCTATGGACTAATGTCTACTTCTTCTGTCCCTCCCTAGGACCTGGAAAGAATACATTTACCCCAGTGTAAGTTGCATCAGTTTTAAACACAAATGTAAATTGCATCAGAATCCTAAAATGGACAGACCAGCAGCTTACCAGTGAGAGTTGGAGCCCAAACGCAGACTAGCAGCTATATCAACAGCAGCTGCACACATGAGAAAGTACTTCAGCACCTCTTTATTAGGGCTGGAAACAGACATCTTTGGCGGAGCATGAGCAGCGGTGACACTATGTGTCGAAGTACAGCTGATTGAACTTCAGGGACAGCTATAGACGTTCCTGGCTGCCACACCCCGACCTGGGGCACATCTGCAGGTGGGGGAAAACCCCCCACCTGCAGATGTGCCTCCCATTAGGGAATGCAGAAGTCACCTCCAGGGGATTTCCTCCAGATATATCTGCAAGCAGATCCTCTTCTACCCCACTTGCACATGTGTACCCCTAAGCCCCGACTTTCCCTGCTTACCCAGACACATCCTTGCAAGGACATGTCCAAGTAAGCAGGGAAAGAAAGCAAGGCAGGTGCTCCTAAGGCTGGAGGGGTTAGTTGATCCTGCCTGGTAAATCCTGGGGTGTGCAGTAGCAGGCCCCTCAAGCCCATAGAGCTCCTGCCCTAGAGAGGCTGGACAGCTCAGGCAGCTTCACTCTGCTCAAGCTCATCCACCATAGCATATAGACAGTGAAGTAGCAGTAAAACTGCAGTAAAAGTAGTACAATTTAATACTATGTTCTATTGTGACCACAAAGTTGAGCATTTGTGGCATAGTAGAAGGTATGGATGTCTATTTGTTTTCACTTTGTGCTGCCATAACGAAGGTGACATCTGTTCCCACCCCAGGTGGCTAGGAAGCAGGGAAAGGCCCACTTATATGGAGAAAAAGGCTAGACTAAATGGAAACAGACATCACTTACGCTGGTAGAGCCAACTTTTTTAGCAGGCATGCCACAAATTAGCTCTATACACTCCCTGAGTCACATGTCAATCCCCTCCCTCAGACCAGTCTGCTCCTCCTTTCACTCCCTGCTGTGCCCCCTGCCTGAACAGCTGCTTTGCTTTCTGCCCCCTGCTACTGTGCTGCCTGTCCCCTCCCTATTTGGTTGCATACCACACACAAAGGCTGCCCATGCCACTTGTGGCACTCATGCCCCAGGTTGGCCACCCCTGATCTACACCACAACTGCTTTATTCCAGATTTACTCAACAATAGATTCAAGCAAGTTATACCAATATTTAGCTTTGTTTTTGGGTTGTTTTTTTTACCATCTCCTGTAAGAACTCAAGAGTACCAGGCTCAGAGCCAGGATTTCTGATCAATGAAGCAGTCTTTAAACAAACTGCAAACAAACTAAATCCAGAGACAAGCAAATCAAAAAAATATAAATATTAAAGTACCTGGATGAGATGCAACAAGCAGCACACTATTTTGACTATGGTGTGCTATGGCAGGGACAATTCCTCTGAACAGATCCACATTGCTTTGTATGACATCAAGATATGACTGAGCATTACCCAGATAATTAACAGTAAACACCACCACTTTGGAATCAGCAGAAGCAGAAAAATCTGACCAAATAGAAAGAAACTGAGGTTAATTAAAAAATAATCAAATCCTAGAAACATCAAGTGATGGATGGAAAACATACTTGGCCCAAAGAAATTTTAAATGATCAACCCACTACTTATTCTTGATCCCTTAAAATAAAGTTTCCCTTTTTATCCCAAATCAAATTTATCTATCTGGAAACATCACTATACTATCTGAACCCTGTGTATCCTAGAATTCTGTCCAAGATCTTTATCACATTTCTGTCCTGCACCTGGGGGCTTCTGTTCCTTTATGTCTCATTCAAAACAAGGACACCAACACAGTACCCAAATCTAGACAGCCACCAAAATATAAAATAAAATAAAATAAAAATCTTACAAATCTGTTAAGTGTATGTAATATGATCAGAAGGTCAACACAAGAGATTTAAAACCTTTACGCAGGGAGCAGGAAAAAGGATGATTTAGGAGTGTCAGCTTCCCAAAATCACTCTACCACCATGCTACCATCTTGCTGTGCAGACTCGCATTCAAGACAAGAGAAACTATCAAAAAATAATAGGCACTCACTGACCCAGAGGTATCGGGTAACCTAGAGGTGATACCTCCTAAAATGTCCTAAATATCCTAAACAGTAAAACACAGAAGATACAGCAACAGGTTTCATTAAAGCATGAAGATTTAGCACCTTTGCTAATCTCTACATTTGGTAGATCGAAGATATCCAGGTCCATGATTCCTCCTTTTGCTGCACCTTCAGAGGGATCTAAAAGAACCACCTGGTCTGCAGCACCCTGTAAAGAATAAAAAAGCAAAATGAAGCATGACTTCCTTTGAAAAATGAAAATTCTAAAATTCAATGAAACTTCTAGAATAGTGTCAGTTATATACAAACACAAATCCCTGACCCGATCCAAATCACTGGTGACTGTGAGGTTAAGAGAACTAACCAGTCAGTTACAATGCTAGTTTCATGCCAAATAATATATTAAAATATACCCACCCACACACCCATGAAGGGAGCCATTCAAACTGGCTATTTTGTTAAACTAGTAAAAGCTGTGAGAAATACCCTCTATGGCCACATCCAGATAAGCGCAGACATTTGGTTCCCTGGGGACAAGAAGCAGCAGCAGACCTTGTGCCACTGCTACTTGTCCTGGGGAACACGCACCCTCTGACACACAGCAGGTTACCCCAGATGGGGTAGGGGAGGCTGGGTCCAGCAACTGTGCTGGCCTCAACAGCCTTACCTGATATCCTGGGGGCTGGGGAAGCTGCAGTCATGGTGCTCCTGCAGCTTGGAGCCTAGCCAGCAGCCGAAGCATAGCTCTGGCAGGCCAGGCTCTGGGTTTGGGCGGCACATTCTGCAGCAATTTGTGCCACCCCGCTTATTTTCTGTGTAAGTTTTATTGACCCCGGAATCTCCTGGGGTCAAAAAACCCCCGTGCTGCAAAGTATCAGTGCAGAAAATGCCTGAATGTGTGGTGCATGGAACCACAGATGGGTCTGCAATGCCACATACTGCACATCCGCACTCATCTGGACACAGCCTACTGGGGAACTTACAATTCCTATAATGCCTTTAAAAATTATATTGATTTGAAGGCGCTAAGATTAATCCTTAATGTTTTCCAACAGCTGACTATCAGATAATAGAGACTTACAAATACTTAATTTAAAGAGCTTTTTCCCCTCCAAGTATTTAAGTGAGGAAAAAATGTAAAACAGAAGAGCTACATCATGCATATAAATACTTATAGTCACTATCTTTATATATCCGGGACCAAGAGCTAACTTGGAAACCATTATAAGAATATTAACTAACAACATTAAGGAATTATCGCATACTTTTGCTGTAATTGCTAGTACACAAGCGATACCAAGATCTCCTGCTCCAATAACCGTAACTTTGTTACAAGTTTCATTTTTCTTCTCTTTCTCCACTTGACTCTTTGATTTCATATCAGTTTCACCTATAATTAAAAACAAAAGCCAGAAACACAGGTCATAATTTGTGTTATAACACAATGCTGATATATGAACTATAAAGCCAAATTACTCTGACTTTTGTAATATACCTGTCAGTACCGATAAATGCTACTGGGATTTTTCAGTTCATGGGGTTGTGCGGGCCGGGAGCGACCCGAGCCCTTTTCCGTGTTGCACGCGGGCTGTGGCCAGCAGCCCGGGCACGCCGGGTCGGAGAGGGAAGGCCGTCGAGCTGGAATTAGGCACAAACGCTTAGCGGTAGTTTAAAAGATTGTTTACTTACACCGAGATGGCAGTGGTGTAGGCTGGAAAACTTGCTTGAGTTGCGGTTACAGACAAGAAAGAAAACAAAAACTCGAACCTGCAGGGCACGAGGGTACGTTGCAAAGGGTTTTTGGCGACGGGAAGATGTAAAACATGAGGGTACGTCGCAAGGGTTTTCGGCGACGGGAAGAT